GGGCTATGGAAGGCACAGACTACGCCATGCTGAGGCCCCGTAGGTCCGAGGCTAAAAGGCCACGGGTGGAAGGAACATGTGAGCCATTGTCGAAATTCCTGTATATTGGGGTTATTTTGGGATAATGGAAAAGAAAATGGAAGATACTATATGCGGTTTAGGGTTTAGGGTTTAGGGCCTAGGGTCTAAACTCCTAGTAGCCCCCTTAATAATGCAGAATCAAATGGAAAAGAACATGGAAAATGAAGTGAAAACTGGGATTGCAGGGGGGATTATAGGGGTTATAGTCTAAACTCCTAGCATCCCCCTTAATAACCCCTATCATACTCCCCTATATAGTCCCCTACATAACCCCCTTTAAGGCGTTTAGACTATTGCTCATCTTGCATTCTCCCTCAACCCCACTCCAACCCCTGTGCAGCGCAGTTTAACCGTGCAACCGAACTGCTCTGGACTACCAACGATCGTTCTGCTTCAGGCAGGCCTTTCGCCCGTCATTCAGGGGATGCATTTTTAGCTCGGGGTGCACATTATGATGGCTTTACTGCATGACATTGAATGCATATTACGTAGAAAGCTTCATAGTCTACAGCACCTGGAGGGAGGGAAGGAAGAGTAGTCCAGCACATTGTTTCAAAAGGGGAGGGAAGGATCATGAATGACTCTTGGCCTGCTGTGTGAATGGAGAGCGTACGGAGGAGGTCCTATTGGTCATACGCGAGGAAAAGTGCATTCATAGCAATCGAGGCTGGGCGAGAGACGGTAGGGGGGGATTTAGGGGTTTAGGGGTTAGGAGTTTAGGGTTTAGGGTTTAGGGGTTTAGGGTTTCGGGGTTAGAGTTTAGGGTTTAGGGGCTTGGGGTTTACGGGAATCCCTAACGATGGCATTGCATGTTTCACATCTTTTTGGAGCGGTACGCGAGGTCTTGTACTGATCCTGTAGGCATGCTATCTTTGGAAATACAAGCTCCAATACTTTGCGAATCTGCAAACAAAGGGGCATGAACCACTCACTGTATTCTTGTCGTGGGCACGTTTGGTTTACATGCAAAGGAATGGCAAAGCCATCTTCATGGTTGGCGGGTGAACGACGCAAAGTGCAGCATGCAATCGTTGAAAGGGCTCGCCGTGTCTTCTCGCGTGATTCTCACCTCTTGGACAAAATCACTTTCTCACGTTTCTCAAGATCCTTCACAATCAAAAAACCCTTGGAAAGGTAGTGAGGGCAGTCCACATTTGTAGACGCACAAAAGGATTGCCCTTGGGATCTAAATGTACAAATAATACCTACATTCTGCCCTGAAGTCTGTACATACTACCCACATTGGGATATTTGGATCCCAAGGGTGGTGATACATCACATGACCGTTCCAGTCCCCTTATGATGAAGCTCGACAAGCTGGCCTGAAGCTCGTATATGTCGGGGCTATAGGGATAATGGAAAAGAAAATCGAAACTACTATAGAGTATTGGGGTTATATAGGGATAATGGAAAAGAAAATGGAAACTACATAATGGATTATATTGGGATTATAGGGTATATATTGGGGCTATATATTGGGGCTATATAAAGCCCAGTTTCCAAGGCAACTATCAGCTCTAGGAATGCCACATTTTCGGGCTAAGGCAAAGCAAGCCGAAAAGCTTGCACAGACTTACTGGTGGTCAGTAGGAATAAGGGAACATAATCCCTATACAACATGTTCCTTTATTCCCTACTAACCACCAGGAAGAAGATCTCAAGGAGCGGGGCTTCTACCTGGAGAATCGGAAACCTAAACCCTGACCCCTAAACCAGTCCGGTTGGCGGCAAGGCAGAAATTGCCAATTATTGTAGACGAAGCAAACTTGCAGCCTTGAGAAACGGATGTGTGCTGGGTTCCTAACCCTAGGACTCCATGTAAGAACTTACATTTATACACTCCTGGGCCCCCAATGTAAGTATTACTAATACACTTAGAGCCACAGGGTAATGGGTTTTTCGAAGCTGCATCAAACCCTAAGCCCTAAACCCTAAACAAAAATAAGCAAGTCCATGTCTAAAAACGCATGGAAAGCACAGCTCTTTTTCTGTCCACAGGGTGGCTGGTGTAGGATAGCTCCTCTCAGCAAATTGTCCTGGCAAGCTTTCCAAGGTTCAGGGTTCAGGGCAGGGCGTTGAAATCTTTAGTCCTGAACCTCACTTTCAGATTGCAATACTGAAGTCTCTCCTCTCAGACCATGATTGCGACCTGCGAGTTCTTCGATCAAATCAATGCAACTGCGGCTTGAAAACAGCTTGCATCTAAAGGCCATTAGGTACAATAAGCTTCTGAGTTCACTCCCTAACCTGAACAAAATCTCAGACGCAAGCACTACAAAACTCTCTCAAACCGCAGACGTCACACCACTTCGCAGGACTCCAAAGACCTTAATCTGGGTTGCTATTGAGGAACTTAGATTAAGTCACCATAATGGGTGTATATATGTAGTAATTAGTACGGTTTCCTGAATTAAGTTTCTTACAGTTTCCATGTCATGTTCCATTTTCTTTTCCATTTGATTTTCCATTCTAGGGGGATAATATAGTACCCTAAACCCTACACCCAAGATAGTAACTCAAACTAAGCTCCTTAACAGCAACCCAGTGATCTCACCTTGCTCATGTCTCAAGGAAACTGACCCCCGGACGGCCCGACTGAAGTAGGATCCCTAGTTAGGGGTTTAAAGCTTTGAAGGGTTTAG